CTGAAGACCTGGTGGTTTAAACAAACCTTTGAGAATGACTAGTTCTAGCTCTGCCCCAGATACTGTTGAAATGAGCCATATCTTCTTCTACCAATTACCCAGGTCACTCTCTTCTGTTAGGCCCTGAAAATGTACAGCCATAGACTAAATTCCCAGGCCCTCTAAAATCGCCTTTTAAACTGCCTTGATAAGACATGATTATTTTAAATATATGTGCTATTGTGGTTTTAATACTTATACTGTTTTATTAATTTTATGTTTATGCCTTTTTTCTTGTATGGATTATGTTATTTGGAAACCGCTCTGTGTCCCCTTGGGAAGATAGAGTGGTATATAAATAAAGTTTTGTTGTTGTTGTTGTTGTAATAACTTAATTTTTGTATCCCACCTCCATCTCCCCCAAAGGGACTCGGGGCAGCTAACATGGAGACAAGCCTGATCAACACTGTCAAAAAACACACACTAAAATTCATAAAACAAGCTGGAATGTGGTCAGAGGCAGGCAACTAAAATTATCAAGGGTCTGGAGAACAAGTCCTATGAGGAGCGGCTTAAAGAGCTGGGCATGTTAGCCTTCAGAAGAGAAGAGACATGATGAGGGCCATGTATGTGAGGGGAAGTCATAGGGAGGAGGGAGCAAGCTTGTTTTCTGCTGCCCTGCAGACTGGGGTGCAGAACAATGGCTTCGAACTACAGGAAAGGAGATTCCACCTGAATATGAAGAACTTCCTGACTATGAGAGCTGTTCAGCAGTGGAACTCTCTGCCCCAAAGTGTGGTGGAGGCTCCTTCTTTGGAGGCTTTTAAGCAGAGGCTGGATGGCCATCTGTTGGTGGTGCTTTGAATGTGATTTTCCTGTTTCTTGGCGAGGGGTTGGACTGGATGGCCCATGAGGTCTCTTCCAACTCTTATGATTCAATGAAACAATTCCCTATGTAGCTGTCCCACAGATACAGATGCAATTTTGCAGTCATTTTGCATTGCCATTTGCCAAAGAGGCAACATGTTTTTTCCTGTTTAGAACTAAAGTATGGCTTGCCTCGTCTGCAGATGACATCAATTTCAAAAAAGAGCTCTGGCTGTTTATTTAGTTTTCATCTGTAATTTTCATCCTGCTTTCATAAATCGCCACAAAAAACAGCACAGTTAGCAGGGGAAGGTCTTAGATCTCAGCAATGACATTAGAGATCTGTTAGCCAATTTCTTTCTAAGATTTGCAAAGGCTGGAAAGGATAGCTGACTGCCTTACGGTTGTAAAATAATATGCTCATGAGCAATCTTAAGGCACACATAAATACGTCATTCACAGGATCTCAGTGAGACCACAGAGGTGTAAAAAGTCTCCAGGAAGTGGCTTGAAATGAAAGATGAGGTTGACTCTGAAAAGGCTGCTATAAATGCCACATTCATCTCTACAGAACAAGTCATGACAGTTATTGTATTTGTATCTCACCCTTCTAGTCATTTTTAGACTCTCCTGTGGAGAACCTCAGACTGAGATCGTTCAGATTGGGGAAGGCCATTATCTCTTGACCCTCCTCTTCTGTTGCTGCTTCTGAACCATTTTCATCACATACTTACTTTTTCGTAGCAGCAGGACCTGTATTGCCCTGGGGCACTGTGGAAAATGGAAGGAGTCATGAGACATACTTAGAATCATAGAATCATGAAGTTGGAAGAGACCTCATGGGCCATCCTGTCCAACCCCGTTCCCATGCAGGAAAAGCACAATCAAAGTACCCCTGACAGATGGCCACCCAGCCTCTGTTTAAAAGCCTCCAAAGAAGGAGCCTCCACCACACCCGGGGGCAGAGATTTCCACTGCTGAATGGCTCTCACAGTCTGGAAATTCTTCCTAATGTTCAGATGGAATCTCCTTTCTTGTAGTTTGAAGCCATTATTCCACGTCCTAGTCTCCAGGGCAGCAGAAAACAAGCTTGCTCCCTCCTCCCAATGACTTCCTCTCACATACTTATACATGGCCCTCATCATGTCTCCTCTCAGCCTTCTCTTCTTCAGGCTAAACATGCCCAGATCTTTAAGCCTCTCCTCATAGGGCTTGTTCTCCAGACCCTTGATCATTTTAGTCACCTTCCTCTGGACACATTCCAGCTTGTCAATGTCTCTCTTCAATTGTGGTGGCCAGAATTGGACACAGTGTGATTCCAGGTGTGATCTAACCAAGAATAGAGGGCTAGCATGACTTCCCTGGATCTAGACACTATAATCCTATTGATGCAGGCCAAAATCCCATTGAGTTTTTTAGCTGCCACATAACATTGTTGACTCATGTTTAACTTCTTGTCCACGAGGACTTCAAGATCTTTTTCACACGTACTGCTCTCGAGCCACACGTCCCCCCTTCTGTATCTTTGCACTTCATTTTTTCTGCCTAAGTGGAGTATCTTGCATTTGTCCCTGTTGAACTTCATTTTGTTAGTTTTGGCCAATCTCTCTAATCTGTTAAGACCGTTTTGAATTCTTTGAAATACTTCAATTTTTGAAATACTTCAATTTTCCTAAAATAATAATAATGGGTCAATAGATTTACACCAGATTTTTTTTTAGATATATATGAACTTTAAGGTGATTCCTGGGGAGAATCCTACTAATTTCTTTAGAGGCAGTCACATATATTTGCACCAAGTTTGGAAGGCATGTTGGGAATGATCTAATTTAAAATGCAGGCTATGAAATTTACTTTAGGGAGTCCCACAAATTATCCCAGTGAAGCTGGACAATTTTGCCCCCTAGTAATAAACAAAATTCCAAATCATTCCTTTTCTGAACATGAAGGAGATTTGGTGGTACATATTCAATTCTATGCATGTGTACCGCCAAAGGGGCCCCTGGTGGCACAGCGGGTTAAACCACTGAGCTGCTTAACTTACTATTTGAAAGGTTGGCTGATCAAATTTGGGGAGTGGGGTGAGCTCCTGCTGTTAGGTCCAGCTTCTGCCAATCTAGCAGTTCAAAAACATGCAAATGTGAGTATATATTTAGGTACTGCCTTGGCGGGAAGGTAACGGCACTTCATGCTGTCATGCTCGCAACATGATTTTGGAGTTGTCTATAGACAATGGCGGCTCTTCGGCTTAGAAATGGAGATGAGCACCACCCCTCAGAGTCGGACACGATAAGACTTAATGTCAGGGGAAAGCTTCACCTTTATCTATGCACTTCTAATTGCAACCTGACATTTATTTATTGGTACTTCTCTTTGTTTTCATTATACTTTGCGGACTTTCCACCCAGGTATTAAAACCCTTTCTCATGGCTTTCCTCTCATGTCGTTCCAGGCCAGAACCCAGCCCAAAGATACCTGAGACGCTCACCTTGACCTTTTCAAGGATGCTGGCTTGCAGAGTCTTCAGCATGGTGCTGACAACCACTAGCTTGGCCCTCCTGTTGTTGGCATTGATCACAGATTACTGGCTAGTGGCCAATGATTCAAAAGATACTGTGCACAGTGGGCTCTGGAAATGGTGCAGAGATGGAAGCTGCTTTACTCCAAATGTGACTTTTGGTAAGGAGATGATGGACAAGATTCTAAATGTTATCGAAGATTCCCAGGATGGATTGAGCAGAATTTTGCAAGTGGCCCCCCTTCCCTCTCCAATCACTAGTTCTTTAAAAAAAAACACTAGTCTATGTGAATACACTAGCCTTGGCTTGAAAAAAAATCTGACTTTCTGTTTAGAAAGTTGAGCCACTATGTGCTTAATCTTACTTGGGAAAGGAATCTGAGTGCAGTACGATCTCTGTAGCCATAGAACCCATATCCACAGTTTCATTTATCCATGTCTGATAAAATATGTAAAATCTAGGCATTTTTAGGTTCTTAAGCCAAAAGGATTTGAAAGGATTTAACATTATGCATTGTGTTGGGTTGTTGTAGGTTTTTTTGGCCTGAATAATAATAATAATCATCATCATCATCATCATCTTTATTTATACCCCGCTGCCATCTCCCCAAGGGACTCGGCTTGGGGAGAGTGGCTTACATGAGGCCAAGCCCAACAACACATCAATAAAACAAGAAAACAATAAACAAAAACAATACAATTAATATAACTCACATATAAACAATAACACACAAAGATTTAAAAACCTATGGCTGGGCCAAATGTAATAGTTTAAAATTAAAAAATAAATGCTGGGCATGAACAAAGGTAGGATATATCTGGTAAGAGGGTTTTAAAAGAAGTGAAGGGAGCCCAATCCAACGAATAGTTAAAGTGCTTCTCCGGACATTTTGCTGGGAATTATTTCCTTATTCTGAGAAGGCACACTGGAACAGCCATGTTTTCAGGCTCCTCCTAAAGACTGCCAATGTGGGGACATGCCTGATATCTTTAGGAAGTGAGTTCCAGAGTCGGGGGGCCACCACCGAGAAGGCCCTCTCCCTTGTCCCCACCAATCGTGCCTGCAAGGGAGGTGGGAGCGAGAGCAGGGCCTCTCCAGATGATCGAAGAGATTGTGTGGGTTCATACACAGAAATGCGGTCATGCAGGTAGGCGGGTCCCAAACCGTTTAGGGCTGTATAGCCATGTTCTAGAAGCATTCACTCCTGACGTTTCGCCTGCATCTGTGGCAGACATCCTCAGAGGTTGTGAGGTCTACATTGTTTCACATTCATAGGTCATACAGATCTAGGTAGATAGATCAAGTTTTGCGAAAGGTACCTTCAAGCTTCTCTTTGTAGACCTACCTCTTCCCTGCTGTTGCTGCTACCCATTTGTTTATACTATCATTCCACAAATCTCTCATTGATTTTATGTCCCTGTCATCTCCTTTACAGACTATATTCTAGCCACACGGGCATTCTTGATCATGGCCTGTCTGATGTCCCTGGCTGCGGTCATTGTTCACATTGCCTTCTTCGCACCCTGTGATTGTGGAATTTTGGACAAGCCCTTCTTTGCATTGGTGGCTGCCTTCACAGCTGGTAGGTGTATCCACCCAAAAGAAGAAGTCTTGTGGAATGGTGGGAGGAAGGGATTTGAGAACTCATGTCTCCTACACTCTGGAGGATGGTTACCAAATCCCCCTTTGGGCTGCTTTGAATGGTTTGAATGGTTACCAAATCCCCCTTTGGGCTGCTTATTAGCCTCATCCTACTTCTTGGCATTGTTGTGACAGTAGCTGATGTGGGTTAATCAGCTTGCATTTCTGGAAGGAAGTAAGTAATAAAGATGGATTTTAGAAAGAAAAACACATGTGCACGTTGCAAAAATAAATTGCCTTCAAATGACCAGGGAAGCTCATAGTGACATTAACCCCATATTTGAGCCCTTTGTCGGGCTTTTTTTAACAGCAGGATATAAAACATTGCAGATTTGCTACATGGCAATGAGAACAGTTATAGAATTGAAAGTAGGACAGGACAATTTTGATTTTACCATTTTATATAAGATACACCATTTATATAATGGGACCAGCACACACAGATGTTTACACGCTCAAGTGGTGAAGCATTGCACTACTTCCTGATGTCCAGTTGCTTGATATAAAATAATGCAATGGCCCCATTTAGTCTCTACTAGTAAGTACCTTAAAGCAGTGGTCCCCAAGGGGTTTTTGACCAGGGACCACTTTGACCAGGGTCCACACTCTAACATTAGTACCAAAAGGGTTACAAATCAAATTTTGGTCAACTTTAGACTTGGTTTGGTAATTTGGGGTGCTGAATCAGAAAATTGCATTCAATAGACCACATCAGCTCTAGTTTCTGATACAGAACACATGCCATCCAGTAGTTGCCATCTGCTCACCCACAGAAAATCATATTTAATAATCTAGAGCTGATGTGGTCTATCCAAGGGGTTGGGGATGGTCAGCAACAGGGAAGGAGTGGCAGGTGGCGCAAAACAAGTGGAAATAAAATAAAATAAATAAAGAGGAAATGAGGCCCGCAGACCAAACTTTTGTCCTCTTGGCCCACTGGTGATCCACGATTCACAGGTTAAAAACCACTGCCCCAAAAGGCACCAGAACCGGTCTGATCTTGGAATTTAAGGAGAGGCATTGCTAGTTAGAACTTGGATTGCCAAAGAATACTAGGTACTGCAGGCTATGTGTCCAACAAAGGGACTGGTATTCTTTGCCTATCAAAATCCTTTGAAGTGAATAGATTCAGCATAATCTACCACAATTTAAAAGAGATATTAACAAGCTGGAATGTGTCTAGAGGAGGGCAACTAAAATGATCGAAGGTCTGGAGACCATGTGCTATGAGGAGTGGCTTAAAGAGTTGGATCTGTTTAGCCTGCAGAAGAGAAGGTTGCGAGGAGACATGATAGCCATGTTTAAATATCTGAAAGGATGTCATAAGGAAGAGGGAGCAAGCTTGCTTTCTGTTGCTCTGGAGACCAGAACTCAGAGCAATGGGTTACAAAAAATTACAAAAAAGAAGATCCACCAGAAAATTAGGAAGAACTTCCTGACTGTAAGAGCTGTGGAACTCTCTGCCTTGGAGTATGGTGGAGGTAGGCATGTAGCCGGGGGAGGGGGGCTTGAGGGGCTTCAGCCCCCCTCCCCTGAAATTCTCATGGTGGTTCGTGAAAAGGCCTTACTGGTGCATTATTTAAACTGTTATGTTTATTCATATCATGATCTGATCACCATACTCAATATATCCCATATGCATGGGGGTAATGATACAAAAGGTTTGCTAGGGTAGACCCACTTTCACCCAGACTCAGCCCCCCCCCCCCCCCCCCCCCCCCCCCCGAATCGAAATCCTGGCTACGGGCCTGGGTGGATGTCCTTTCTTGGAGGCTTCTAAACAGAGGCTGGATAGTCATCTGTCAGGGGTACTCTGATTGTGCTTTTCCTGCATAGGAAGGGGGTTGGACTAGATGGCTCACGTGGTCTCTTCCATCTTTATGATTCTGTGATTCTAAGTCAACAGGTAACTTGAAGGCACATATATATTCAGTGTTGACCCACCAAATAAATCCTTCAGTGCTAAGAAAACATGTAGGTGAATCCCAGTTATTCAATCAGTCTAATCTAGTTAGGGAAAGTCAGAATTATGTAGTGGTTTGAGCATTGGATTGCAACTCTGGGGAACGATAGTTCAATTTCCTATTTTTATTTTCATGTAAGGAGCAACTTGAGAAACTGCAAGTTGCTTCTGGCGTTAGAGAATTGGCCGTCTGCAAGGACGTTGCCCAAGGGTGTTTTGGTGTTTTACCATCCTTGTGGGAGGCTTCTCTCATATCTCCAGATGAGGAGCTGGAGCTGACAGAGGGAGTTCATCCAGTCTTCAGTCCTGCTGGAACAAGGATTTAACCCATTGTGTCACCGGGGGCTCCTAAATAATTTCCTACTGCGCCATGAAATCCCACAGTATGACTTTGGCTAAGTCACACTTGGCCTCTGAGGAAGGCAAAGGGAAATCCTCTGTGAACAAAACTTCCAAAAATCAAATTGTAATGCCCTTTCAAACATAACTAGAGAATTCCTTGTTGGACATCAAAATGAGAAATAACCTATTCCAACTCATTATTTGACTTCTGCAATGTCACTTTGTTTTTTGCTGTGTGACACATTATTTAAAAGCAACTATTCTTTCCATGCTTTGCAAAAACACTGGTAAGAATCAGAATTACATCAGCTCCATAAGCATCCTTTCTGTTGCTTTATAGGACTGTTCACTCTCATAGCCGTCACTGTATTCACTGCTGAATCTTGGGACAAGAATGAGGACCAGCAAATCCAGCTCACATTCGAATGGTCTTTCTACCTTGCCTGGGGAGCATTTCCCATGCTACTGCTGGCTGGTGAGTCTACTAAAGGAAAGCAGAGAAAAGCTAAAACCACTAGTTTGAAATGGGTTGAGTTGGGTATGTATGTATGTAGAATATTTATAGTCTGCTCTTCAGCCAAAAGATCTCCCACAGTGGCAGAAAAATTGTTATATTGACAATTTCCTGTCCTTACATTTATGAGGGTTGAATGAAAGGTAATTTTTTTTGTCGTGTCAGGAGCGACTTGAGAAATTGCAAGTCACTTCTGGAGTGAGAGAATTGGCCGTCTGCAAGGATGCTGCCCAGGGGACGCCTGGATGATTTGATGTTTTTTATCATCCTTGTGGGAGGCTTCTCTCATCTCCCCACATGAGGAGCTGGAGTTGATAGAGGGAGCTCATCCGCCTCTCCCTGGACTTGAACCTGCGACCTGTCGGTCTTCAGTCCTGCCAGCACAGGGGTTTAACCTACTGCACCACTGGGGGCTCCAATGAAAAGTAATGCCTCCACCTTTGTAACTCCTCAACAGATGGCAGTACTGGTATGCAGCAGGTACTGGCTTGTTCAGTAGACTCTCCTCTACAGTTCCATTTTGGTGGGAAGCCTTAGTATTGAATGGTTGTGTTGTTAAAGTGCAAAGTATGGAACCCTGCGCAGACGGTCGGTCAGTGAGACTTAAGCAACGTGCAGTCATTGAATTCTTGACAGCAGAAGGTGTCACCCCAAAGGAGATTCATCAGAGAATGCAAGCTGTTTATGGTGATTGTGTTGATGTGAGTACTGTGCGTCATTAGGCGAGTAAGTGTAAAGATGTTGAGGTGGGAACATCTGACTTGCATGACAAACAAAGAGTTGGACATCCTGTGACAGCAACCACCGAGTTTCACAAGCAAAAGGTTGACAGATTGATTCAGGACGATCATCATATCACTCAGAGAGAAATTTCAAGCATAATCAGCATTTCATAAGAACGTGTGGGTCAAATTATTGCTTTGCTCGGCTACTGGAAAATCTGTGCACGATGAGTTGTGGAAACAGAGTGTCGACTTCTTCCGTGACAACTTCAGAAAACTTGTTCATCGTTGGCAGAAATCTATCCAATTGTCTGGTGATGATGTGGAAAAGTGAACAGTGTTAGTTAAAGAGTACATCCTAAGGATTATTTCTCTGTTTTATTTATTAAAATATTGCTATCCAAACACAAGTAACGAAGATTTAACCTTCGTACAGTCCCAAAGGATACAAAAAACAAGACAAAAAAGATGGCAGTGAGAAGGGATTAAATCCAGCAAGTGCTGGTTGCTCTTCTCTCATTGAGAAGTCACCTTGTTGCCAATAGATATGGAGGAAGGGCCTCTCATTGGGAGCAAAGCACAGTGGCACTATACCTGGCTGCTCTTCTCTCCCTGACAGACTTCCTCAGTGCCAATTGGTATTTGCTGGAATCAAACGAATGCAGAGCACTTGATGTCCACTTCATTGTTGTAATTTCATACTTTTCCACCTGAGGAATATTTAATTCTGGATAACTTGATGTCCATTGCATTCTGTGATTTTCATATTTTTTCACCTGAGGAAGACTTAATATAGTTGAAACCGGTCTGGGATTGGCGATCCTCTTCAAGGAAGCAGAAGTTCCACATAACAGTTTCATTAGAGAACTAGCTGTACCCACCACGCTTTGCTATGGCCAACCTTCCCTCCTTCTCTCTCTCCTCCTTTCTTTCTCTCCTTCCTTCCTTCCCTTTTTAATTTCATTATCTCCTTCCTTCTCTTCCTCTTCTCTTCCTTCCCTTCCCCCCTTTTCTTTCCCTTCCTCTTTCTCCCTTTTCTCCCTTCTCTACCTATTTTTGAACTGCAACTCCAGCAGTCCTCCTGATCAATCTACCTACCTACCTATCTCTATCTAATCTATCTATCTAGAGGATTGCTGGGAGTTGCAGTCCAGGAATAGGAAATTGGGAATATGCAGGGATTGGGACACCCTCGAAGAAATCCAAGGGGAAGAAAGCTTGCAGCTTGGAAGCAGTGCATTTGGGTCATCCTCCTCTCCTAAAGGGGATGCTGGGAGCTGTAGTCCAGAAGAGAGTGTGGATATGCTATTGAGTGTTTTGTTTGCTAGGAGAAGTCATTTTGCGCATGCACTGTAGTGTCTTTTTGCTTTTTGGGCTTTTTAAATCCCTTCTGCTGTGTTTTTCAGTGTTTTTATGAGTGATGGTCACTCGTTGGCCTGATAGGTGTATTGTGTCCAAATTTGGTGTCAATTTATCCAGTGGTTTTTGAGTTATGTTAATTCCACAAACAAACATTACATTTTTATTTATGTAGGTGATCTTTTCATGGATTTTTTGGATTTATAAATCTATTTACAAGAGAGTAAGGAATCCATGCCTTCAAAAAGAAGTCTTCTCTAAAGTATTTATGGTTATTAACTTTTTTTTAATGATCTTTATACTGCTCACCAGAAGGGAATCATTGTGACCAGATTGTGTTTAGAACAGCTTTATGCTCTTTGTATATATGTCCATTATTGTAGCAATGTAAGTTGTACAAAATTATTACTATTGTGATTGGTGTACTACTGTTTGTAGTGGTTTTGTGTGTCTGTGTTTCAGGGAATCAATTTTCTGTCTAGTTATTGACTTCATACAGAAAGGAGCTAGAACTGTACTGATGCTCTGTTCTTGGTGGTATAAATATACGSAAGTCAACATGCATATAACAAGACCTCTTAACAGCCATTGGAAGCAAGACACAATGGGAATGTCTGGCTGCTCKTCTCTCCTTTAGAAACCACGTCAGAGTCAGGTTGTGCGAAGGGAGGGCCTTCGAGCACCTGCTGGGAGTGAGGAACAATGKTATTTTGCCTGGATGTTCCTCTTTCTCTCAGAGGCCACAAAAACGGCTGTTGGTATATTATATATTCCCTAGCATTTTCTTCTTAAGCAACCCAGGATTTTAATAATTAAAATGTTTTTTGTGGACAGCTTTAGCTGTTTGAACTCACCCTTCTTCCTTCTCTCCCTCRTCCTCTTTCCTTGCAGGTATACTCAGCCTTGTTGTCCTCCTGTGCTCTTCGCGTTCCGGCTACGACAATATTTGAACACTTGGATCTCAAAATACAATGGCAACTGTGCAGTGAAACCACAGTGAAAATCACTGGCTTCCATGGCAATTCGTTTTGATAAAACTTTGGAATATTCACCCCACTTTACCTCTGTGTCAAGGACCAGAAGTCTCTGGATGTCATAAAGACATGAGCTCTGGACCACTTTAGGTTTTTTGAGCTTGTATATAAAGTCCTAAGGCACTGAAACCTATGCATTTCTATCTTCTGAAAGAGAATTAAGCACTTTGGACAGCTCTTTCAATGGTGAGATTCATCACCTTATTGTTAGTGGTTGCCACTGGCCCAAAATAGAGAAAACCAGGGTCATTTTCATGCCAATCAAATCCCTGCTTATCCTTTGTTTCTGCTCCATTTCCAAACCATCTGCACTGTCTTCTACACAGTAGTAATTTTCCAGCTGTCTCATTTTCTTTTCTTTGGTTTGTCGGCCAAAGCCTTAACCATGGAACTCCTGCATAGTGAATAGAATATGTTAATTTTTCCAAATTTGGAAACAATAGATGTTTTCCATTCTATTCCGAAATATGTATCAGTTTAGAGCTTGGGTCCTCAGATGTTAGTCAACCAGCTCCCAGAAACTGCAGATAGCCTGACCAATGGTCACGTATTTTGATGGGCTACTGTGTCTTTAAGTCATAGAATCATAGAGTTGGAAGATACCTCATGAGCCATCCAGTCCAACCCTATTCTGCCAAGAAGCAGGAAAATTGCATTCAAAGCACCCCCGACAGATGGCCATCTAGCCTCTGTTTAAAAGCCTCCAAAGAAGAAGCCTCCACCACACTCTGGGGCAGAGAGTTCCACTGCTGAACAGCTCTCACAGTCAGGAAGTTCTTCCTCATGTTCAGGTGGAATCTCCTTTCCTGTGGTTTGAAGCCATTGTTCCGCATCCTAGTCCCCAGGACAGCAGAAAACAAGTTTGCTCCCTCCTCCCTATGACTCCTGGAATGTGGTGGAGGCTCCTTCTTTGGAAGCTTTTAAACAGAGGCTGGATGGCCATCTGTCAGGGGTGATTTGAATGCAATATTCCTGCTTCTTGGCAGGGGGTTAGACTGCATGGCCCATGAGGTCTCTTCCAACTCTTTGATTCTATGATTCTATGACTTCCCCTCACATATTTATACTTGGCCATCATTTCTCTTCTCCACCTTTTCTTCTGAATGCAAACATGCCCAGCTCTTTAAGCCGCTCCTCATAGGGCTTGTTCTCCAGACCCTTGATCATGTAAAGAATCAAGTAAATAATTCCTGTTTCTCCTCCTTTAAATTCTTTCAAAATAAAAAATGACACAGTGGAAATATTACATGTAATAAGTATATGTGTTAAACTAATGTAATAATCTGTGGTTAGGATAGGCCTGTGTCTGTTTCCTGTGCATTGCTATTTTTTAATGCTATTTTGATATTCAGAGGTGTTTCTATGTGACCTTATCCAAAATGCACAATTTATGTGACGAACCAATCTGGAGCTATTGGAAATGTTCACATCTTTGCATATTCTGAGTTGGTCTAATAAAGATACTTTAATGCAGGATTTGGAGATTTAATTTTGCAAATTATAATTTTATTACCGAATTTGAAATGCCACCCTTTAATCCAGACCTAAGTAAATTTACTTGGAAATTATCTTTACTGAGTTGAGATTCCTAGTAAATGTGTCTATATGGCTTCTGATAATGGAGGTTTCATTGCAATTCTAATCTATTGATTTATCACTTTGAAAATGAGTACTTTATATGGACATTTGTATAAGGCCGCTTTGTATGGAAAATGGAAAATATATGTGTAAGAACTCCAAGGGATTCCAGAATGCTGGAGTTACTATGGGAATGGTGGATTCTCTTATGTCATCAGTAAAGTCTTCAGGGTCACACCAACATTCAAAAAGGAGGCCTTGGGGAGAAATCCAGTCCAGTCCTTCCATAGATCGCTCAAAGTAGAAGAGAATGGTTCGTGGTTTTAACTGCCTTCCTTGCATCAATGCTGTGGACCACATTTTTTCTGTTATTTCTAATTGGCACCCAGTTGTGTGGGTCAAGGACCTAAAAACCATTAGGCAGCTCCGTCTGGGTGGCATCGTGCTCTCTTGCCTGGCAACTTGTCTGGTGATGATAGCAATCTGCACAGAATACTGGGTCAAACGATTCGTCCGAGGGATTTTTGTGTTCCGGGGGCTGTGGAAGGACTGCCAGCTGGGAAAATGTACCGCTCTGGTCAAAATGCCATGTAAGAATCATGAAATTCTCTGAACATACAAAAAGAAGTCACTGTAATTTGCTTTTGGGAGCCCCTTACTAATGTATGATTCTGTATAGATTCAAGGCCATCTGTTGGGAGGGTTTGGACAGTGCCTTTCTATATGGGTTGGTCTGGATGACCTTTGGGGACCCCTTCCTAAAGTATTATTCTAAACAGATTCAAGGCCATCCGTTGCTTGGATGGTGTTTTGCTTTAAGAGTTGGACTAGATGGCCTTTGGGGGCCCCTTCCTAATGTATCTTTTTTTGTCATGTCAGGAGTGACTTGAGAAACTGCAAGTCACTTCTGGTGTGAGAGAATTGGTAATCTGCAAGGACGTTAGCCAAGGGACGCCTGGATGTTTTGCTGTTTTTACTATCCTTGTGGGAGGCTTCTCTCATCTCCCCACATGAGGAGCTGACAGAGGGAGCTCATCCGCGCTCTCCCCAAATCCAAACCTGTGACCTGTCAGTCTTCAGTCCTGCTGGCACCCACTGTGCCACCAGGGGCTCCTTCCTAATGTATGAGACTACACAGATTCAAAGCCATCTGTTGGGAGGGTTCGGATGGTGCCTTCCTTTATGATAATAATGTATTTATTTGACCAGTCATAGGACCATTTCAAAATACAACACGAATAAAAGACAAGGCAAAAAGGAGAGGATATCAGCTGACCTTCTATTTACAAGTCAGAATCTTATTTTCCTGGTTCTTCTTTCAGGAAACGTGCTCGAAGAAGTCACTAAATACCGCATTTAATACTGAGAAAGATAACTTGATAGCGCTCTAGTTCTTGTGGTGGGACTTGTGGTGGGAAAAAGTGGTTCTGCAGTTTGCAAAGTTGTGCAGTCTGAATGGGGAGTAAAGCTAGTTGTGGAAGGACCCTATTGGCTAGAGCCTATGAGGTGACTAATACATCTGCGGATCTCTGTGCCAGTCTCTGGATCAGTATTGGGATTATTTTTATCTTACAAATATTAAACCACACATAATTAAAAGAGTTAATTAGGTAGCCATTCTGGCCTCACTAGGGATGGAGTTCTGAATGCCTCTTTCCTCCCTTCCCCATAAAACATATTTGCAAAATATCTGGAGCCAAGAAAGCCATCTCTTGAAGAATGACAAAGCCTAGATAGGTTCATATCATATCGGGTATGACAGAGAATTGAAGGCGCTTCCAGACAGTGCCAAAATCCACATTTTAAAAATGGGTTTAAAAATCCCGGGACCTGACAGCAGGTCAACACACAGACTTGTCAGTCGCAAGATATAGTCCCCCACCGTCCTCACAGTCTTCTTTTGAAGCGGATCAAGATGGAGGGAAGGCGAGGGACATGCAAATATCTTAATCTATATATATAAAAATGCTCTGTGCATAATGAGTACCTTAAAAACAAAAGAACCAATGAACGAAATCACACCAAATTTGGCAAAAAAACGTCTCACAACACAAGGAGTGACCATCACTCAAAAAATTATGATTTTGTCATTTGGGAGTTGTAGTTGCTGGGATTTATAGTTCACCTACAATCAAAGAGCATTCTGAACTCCCGCTGTTAGCCCCAACTTCTGCCAACCTAGCAGTTTGAAAACATGCAAATGTGAGTAAATCAATAGGTACCACTCTGGCGGGAAGGTAACAGCGCTCCATGCAGTCATGCTGGCCACATGACCTTGGAGGTGTCTACGGACAACGCCAACTTTTCGGCTTAGAAATTGAGATGAGCACCAACACCCAGAGTCGGACACAAGTGGACTTAAAGTCAGGGGAAAACCTTTAACTTTACCTTAGACTCATATAATCCGGTTCAAAGGAGATAATGTGGATTATCTTCTTTGAAATTCAGGATTATATAGCAGTGTAAAAGGGGCTTTAATCTGTTTTCAGAAAAAATACTCTTTATCTGGATTTGGGGAATCTTTTTTTCATAACTAATTCTATATTCTGGCTGGTTTCTGCATGAGACTTTTGCTCCATCTCGTGGCCAACATCTAACATTTCAGCCTTTCAAAAGTAGCCTTTGATGTTTGTTGGCAGCACATTCATATTGTTAGTGCCTTTAAGCATTCCAGTTCTAAAGTAACAACACATATTTTACTATAGAATTGCTGGGATTTGTAGTTCACCTACAATCAAAGAGCATTCTGAACTCCATCAACAATGGAATTGAACCAAACTTGGTGCACAGAACTCCCTGACCAACAGAAAACACTAGAAGGGTTTGGTGGGCATTGATCTTGGGTTTTGGAGTTGTAGTTCGCCAACATCCAGAGAGCACTGTGGAGTCAAACAATGATGGATCTGGACCAAACTTGGCACGAATACTCAATATGCCCAAATATAAACACAGATGGAGTCTGGGGGGAATAGACCTTGACATTTGGGAGTTTTAGTTACTGGGATTTATAGTTCCCCTACAATCAAAGAGCATTCTGAACCCCACCAACGACAGAATTCGGACAAACTTCCCATACAGAACCGTCATGACCAACAGAAAATACTGTGTTTTCAGGTGGTCTTTGGTGACCCTACTGACACCCACCTGGTGACCCCCCCCCCAGGGTCTTGACTTCCCAAGTTGAGAAATGCTGCCTTAAAGCCATCCAGTCCAACTCCCTTCACCAGGGCAAGAAAACATAATCAAAGCCCTCCTGACAAAGGGCCATCCAGCCATTCACACACACACACACACACACACACACACATATGTATATGACAGATGCAGTATCAAAGATTTGAAAGGGACTCCTAAAGAAGGTCAATGATATGTTGCATGTTCCAGAGTAGGCAAACCAGACAATTTCCACATCAACACTGGCAAAGGAACAGCAAGAAATACTGTTTACCAACAAGCAGAAAGAAATTACATATATTAGAAACCAACACTTTCTCATTACTTTATTTTCCAGATCACCAGACTGGGCCACAGCAACGCGTGGCAGGGGACCGCTAGTGTAAATATAAGAAAATTTACATGCAAATATCTTAATATAAATATAAGAAGATTTGTATATGCACATATGAGGTTCAGTACACAATGCAGGGATTTTTTTTTTAAAAAACTTCCATTTTTCTTCCCACAATTGTTAATTCAATCTCTGTTAAAGATTATAAAGTGTAAAAGAGTTTCAGAGAGTTCTAATTGCTTTGCATTTGTGCTTCCCTTGAACCACCTGTGTGTCCGTTTGACAGCCCGATCAGCTGGAGCACTCTATACAGGGGGGAAGGAGGGAAAGCACGTGTTTTTCATGACTGCAGGGATATAGTCGTGCAAAGGTGCACATTTTTCAGCCAGAATCAGGTTATAAGCGCACCTTTTTAACACGTGCTTTTTAGCTCTCAATTCGATTCTTCCCACACTTTGGCTAAACGTCATTTAGCCACCCTTCCTCCCCTTTTAACCCATGTGTAGAAGGGTTCTCAGATAGCACTCAACTCCTTGCTAGCATGCATACTCTCCAACTGTCTCAGTTTGGCAAGAACAGCCATGATGAATTCTCTGTCATTCCATCTTTTCAGCTTTTTAAAATATGTCCTGATCCTCTTTCCTCTTTCCATTTTTAGCCCTTTACACAGCTGTATAAAATCCACATTATCTGCTTTGAACTGGATTATATGGCAGTGTAGACTCATATAGGAGCCCCCAGTGGCGCAGTGGGGTAAACCACTGAGCTGCTAAACATACTAACCAAAATGTCGCATGTTCGAATCCGGGGAGCAGCATGAGCTCCCGCTGTTAGCCCCAGCTTCTGCCAACCTAGCAGTTCGAAAACATGCAAATGTGAGTAGATCAATAGGTACCACTCTGGCGGGAAGGTAACAGCGCTCCATGCAGTCATGCTGGCCACATAACCTTGGAGGTGTCTACGGACAACGCCAGCTCTTCGGCTTAGAAATTGAGATGAGCACCAACACCCAGAGTCGGACACAAGTGGACTTAAAGTCAGGGGAAAACCTTTAACTTTACCTTAGACTCATATAATCCGGTTCAAAGGAGATAATGTGGATTATCTTCTTTGAAATTCAGGATTATATAGCAGTGTAAAAGGGGCTTTAATCTGTTTTCAGAAAAAATACTCTTTATCTGGCTTTGGGGAATCTTTTTTTTCCTCATAACTAATTCTATATTCTGGCTGGTTTCTGCATGAGACTTTTGCTCCATCTCGTGGCCAACATCTAACATTTCAGCCTTTCAAAAGTAGCCTTTGATGTTTGTTGGCAGCACATTCATATTGTTAGTGCCTTTAAGCATTCCAGTTCTAAAGTAACAACACATATTTTACTATAGAATTG